TCCATTCTTTTTATTATTATTCTTTATTCTTCCCTTCCCAGGTTCTAGTTTTCAGCTTTTTCTCTCTTCCCTGTTCCTGGTTCCCATTTTTTTCTTTCTCGTGGTTAATCCCATTCCTTGTCTTTCTTTTTGCATTTTTCCTATTTTTTTCCTCATTATTCTCCTACTCTACCTCTATTTTCTTACTACTGCCTCCCCAGATATTATGGGTTTTTTTTTTTTCCTCTCCTTTTCTTTTTTTGGTGATTGTTCCTCTGTGTTTATGTGGTGTGTTTCTTGTCCCCTTGCTCTTACTTTTTGATGTTTTTTTTTTTTTAATCATTGTTTTTGTCTAACTGACTGGGAGACAGCAGCTGTGCCCATATGACACAACCATACCCACACCTCCTACAGCTCCAGTTACAGAATGAGAGCCACCATTTCCTTCTCCATCAACTGGCCAATGACAAACGACTACCAAGAAGGCCTGATTCACCCTTAACTGCTCTTCACAAACATTTAGCAGAGATCTAAATACAGCAACATCACAATGTCTTGGAGACAACAGACCATCACTGTCCACACAAAGAAGCAAGATAAAGTAAAGCGGTAGAAACAAGGGAGCAATATGGACTCAGAACCCATCCCTGAAGAAGAAGCAGCATTGGCGCTCTCTAATAAGGAATTCAGAAGAATTATATTTAGGTAACTTCAAAGAAATGAGAGGTCAAGGAAAACACTGACAAAATTAAGGAAAACACAGACAAAACCCTAGAACAATTTTGGAAGAAAATACAAAACCAAAATGACAAAATAAATGAAAAATTAGAAATGACACAAAATCTACAGATAGAAACCCGGAAGAGTAATACTAAATTTTCAGAAATAGATAACAAATTGAAAGGGCAAAGGAGTAGAATTGAATCCATGGAAGACAGAATAATGAAATTGAAGACAAGTACCTGAATACTTCTTTGGAAAGGGACCAGTCAGAAAAAAAATCAAAACAAAATGAAGAAAGCCTAAGGTTCATGTGGGATACCATCAAAAGGAATAACCTACGTGTCATTCGAATTGCAGAACAGGAAGAGAAAAAGAAAACCACTGAGAAAATTGTCCAAGATTTGTTGGAGGAGAACTTCCCTGATATGATGAAAGATAAGAATATATCCATTCAGGAAATCCAACGAACCCCAAACAGGATAGACCCCAAAAGAAAATCACCAAGACATATCATCATCAAACTCACCAAAACCAAAGCCAAAGACAGAATCCTGAAAGCAGCACAGGAAAAATGAAAAGTTACCTACAGAGGACAACCAATAAGAATAAGCTCTGATTTCTCAGCAGAAACCACGCAAGCGAGAAGGCAATGGGATGATATATGTAAAACCCTAAAAGAGAAAAATTTTCAACCAAGAATTATATACCCAGCAAAATTGTCCCTCAAATATAATGGTGAAATTAAGAGATTTCCAGATAATAGAAATTAAGGAAATTTGTTAAAACCAGACCAGCTGCCATGTAGTAAATTACTTAGTGTGGCTTTTCCAGCTATAAGTCTTTGTAAATTCTGTGGTGGAATTTGCTGTGAGCAGCTGAGCTCCTGATTGTAAAATTTGGGGTATATTCCTGGGGTATTTCTGTTGGGCGCAACACAAAGCAATGTTCTGGGAGGTTCCTGCTCTGTCTCTCAGGTGGTTAGAATTCTGATATAATGATTGGTTAGTTTGGCCACTCTGCCAGGTTCAAAAGGAGGCCTCCTAGAGGCAGAAGAAGCCTCTCTCCAACTGCTGGTTGAGGAAGATTGGCTGCTGAAAGAGACACATGCTCCTGAAAGAGACATGCGCTGCTGGGAAAGAGACATGAGACATGCATTGCTGAGTGAGACACCGAGGGAGATGCACGGCTGGGAAAGAGACTGAGAGACTGTTGGCAGAACGAAGGCAGGCTGGGAGAGAGACTGAGCACTTTTTTCCTGAACTTGGATTGTAGCCTGGTGCTTCCCTAATAAACCCCATAATCT